CAGAAATCAAGCTGACAACAGACAAAGATTTCTCTTCGAAATGCAATGCTAATGTATTATACGTCGATTATGAGAATATGCCCAATATTCTTAAGCCTGGAGCCCATGTATTCATTGATGATGGACTCATTTCACTGGTGGTTAATAGCATCCGTATGAATCTTTATTCTCTTATCATTCAAAAACAAAAATTTCAGTAACGACCAGGCGGGAAAGCGTACAGATTGAGAAGTTCGATCGATTAAGAAGCATAATTTGGTCGGAACTTTTAATTTACTTTCGAACTTAAATTGATAACAATTATAAATAATATAAGCATAATGGAAAGTGTTTATTATATAGCCAAGTAATTGTATCATTTTAGAGGGTAAAGATATAATGTGTACGATCGAGAATGGCGGTAAATTAGGCAGCAAAAAGGGGGTCAATCTTCCTGGTACTAAATGTGATCTGCCTGCCGTTTCGGAAAAAGACACTCAAGATTTGAAATTCGGTATTGAACAGGTACCAATTTATGGAGTTATCTAAGTTATCTATTAAGTTTAAATTAGAGTTAACTTAAAGATAGTTTTGTTTCTACAGGACGTTGATATGATATTTGCGTTTTTGTTTCTACAGGGCGTTGATATGATATTTGCGTCGTTTATTCGAAACGCTGAAGGCGTGCATGCGATTCGTCGTATTCTTGGCGAAAAAGGAAGATTTATTAAAATTATAGCAAAAATTGAAAATCAGGAAGGCATCGAAAAGTAAGTAATTATTGCTGACTTAACAAGAAGCAGACAATAATCAAATTTCAAGGTGTGAAAATGAATTGCTTTGAAATTCTGACCAAGGTGCCATTAGCAGTTTGTTGTGAACTGCAATGGGATGTTCTTTTGTTGAGAAATGAAACAAAAATATATCCGAAGAACTTTCTAGCGCAAATGAGATAATCAAAGCAGCAGATGGATTGATGATAGCACGCGGTGATTTGGGTATCGAAATTCCCACTGAGAAAGTATTCGCGGCGCAAAAAATGCTAATCGCACGATGTAACGCAGTTGGAAAACCCGTGGTGTGTGCTACTCAAATGCTTGAATCAATGACTAAGAAGCCAAGACCTACCCGAGCTGAGGGTAAGTTAATATATAATACAATAAGCGCATTTCCTAAATATGGAAAAAAAATGAAAATTGGGTTAAAGAATTCTAAAATGTGTCAAATCCGTCGCCTATATTTCCACATGTTTAATGTAAATTTCAGTTCCATAATTATTATAACTGTAATATTTGTTTCTTGAGAATTGTACTGATCATAATCGGCAAAAGTAGTAATAATTTATCGTATCATTAATATTATACATTTAAAA